TGTGATCGCCCCCCCCCCCCCCCCCCCCCCACGTGTCCACTGACTGCAAGCTGGAAGAATTATGACAACTGCAATTTACTTAAAGAACAATCAGGATTAATCATTGTTTCCCCACTATCCTTCTCCATGGAACCACCAGTCAGATAGTCTCCTAGTTATGCCCTACATTGCTGAGAGTTTTTCTCTTGTGCTCCACTTTAAATGATCTGGTCAAAAAAACACCCCAAAAAACAAAACAAAAACCCCACAAACCAACAAAAACAAAAAAAACACCCAAACCCACAGTGTTTCATCCTGGTAGTACTCTTAACTAACAACTGAACGCTTGATTTCTTCAGCAGAGCGAAATCCACAGCCAAAGTAAGGAAATGGATGGGATTCAGGGGTGGGGATAAGAGGGAGGGAAGAACCAAGTATTCAAAAATAAATTCAATACTAACCCGAGGCGGTGCCTCTCTCTCATCTTTGTCTTCATCACACTCAAATGCCACCTGAGCACGTTGTTTCCGCTGTTCCTCCCACAGAGATGGATTGAAACTTTCATTATCAGATATGAACATAACTAAAAAAAAAAAAAAAATTCTCATAAGAATATGATACATTATGCAAAATAAAAAAGCCTCTTTTTCTTTCTCTTGGATGGGATTGGTGTGCTTTTGTATGCATTCTTAAAAGATATGAGACTAGTAGCACTATTAACTGAAAACTAGCTGCACTGCCACTGCTTTATGAACTTGGTATTTCCATAATAGTAAAATCCCTATCTGTAAAGTAAAAAACTTCATACACACAGCTGTACACCGGTCTTACACTCTCACTTGAAAATTTTCAGCAGAACTCTCTGAAAGTGGAGAAATAAAGAGATTTAACTCTCTTTCACTAACTCCTGATGGGGTTACTCATGGAATGTTACTTATTTTCCTAACTATTTCAGAAGTGTGCAGAAATAACTTTTTGGCAAGGTCTTAATATTTTGGGCCTAACTTTTTATAAAACAGTTCAAACCAAATGTGAGCAAAATGCTTCTTTTCTGGACCGATTTTTGTTTCTTTTAAAACAAAACACAGAATGCTATGTACTTTTCCAAAAATATGTACTCGGTAATGGAGGAAACATTTTGTCTAACATTCTGTTAAAATAGTCAGTCTGAAGTAGATTCCTGCTAAGGAGAATTTCACCCCAAACCATTAAGCTCTGTTGGAATGAAACAGGGTGTCACACTGGGAAGTGGCAACCATTGCTGAACGTGATCCTGCCAGTCCATTCTTCACCTCACTCACTGAAACAGTTTCTCCTAGAATTTACCAATATGTAGATCACATCAAGTTACTGTTCTCATTCTTCAGATGTAACTTCATCACTTACAAGTTTACTTCAAATTTGCATTTAAGTATTATCTAGTGAAAATCATATTAGCTGGACAGTCTTCCCATTATTATTATTTTCAAAAGTGAGCACTCTGACAGGGTATTTCAGAAATTCTTACCATCCTCAGTCCTTGGTTGCTGGGGGAACATGTAATTAGTAAGCACTGTTTTCTGTGTGTCAGGGTCAGCTTCTTTTTGAAGAGGGATAAGTGGTTTAGACTAGGAAGTAAATGAAAGAAGGATATGTTATGAGAATATATATTAAAAAGTAAAAATATGATACATATCACAGAGCATGCCTGTCCCATCACTTTAAAGACTACTCTGCCTTGTATTAAAGCAAGAATAATTTTCATAAAATGAAGTTATTAACATGTGTGTCTTTGATTGATGACTGGCTTTCACTGAGAACTGAAACTCAGTAACAGCTTTAAGAGAAAAGCAAACACTGGATATTCAAAAAATAACCCAGTTTCTTGCTAGGACTTAGTCCTATCTCAAAGCAGGCTGATCTGGAATACACAGGTATATCTGGCCATTTAAAGCTGCAGACAATCATATAAAGAGAAAAATTTTGTACTCAGCTTTTCATATTGACACCAGATTGAATATACCCCACCCCTTACAAAAAAGGGCAAGGGATTCTTGAAATTACTGTATTAGTAAAAGTGCTTTCATTATACTAAATCTGAGGCTACTGGATTTCTGGCAGCCCTGTACACCTTAATGCCATTCAGGAAATCAGCATAGTACGGAGGGCTTCAATACACAGCAAAAATACAAGCCACATGCACATGAGTTACTCTCAAATAGCTTGAAACTTGGACAGTCACAGAGTCCAAAGGTGTGACAAGAAACTTAGCTCAAAAAAAAGGCATGCGAAGTTTCCTCAATGGTATAGCTGTGGAAGAAACAGCATGCTGCACGTTCAAGTACTAGCTTATCAAGCACTATCTCTCCTGTATAAACGAGCCTGAATTAAGAAAAACAAAACCCTCAAAACCCAACATCTGTTAAATTGCATTTCCTAACAGCAAAGAACTTTGCTAGAAGTACAAAAGTCTCCAAAGAGCAGTAGGTTCAGTGTTGTTTATTTCAGGAGAACCGACATAGGAAGTATTGATGCATATGCACAGTACTAGGTCTCATTATCTAACGGATGGCTCTGTACTTGTCAATTCCATTAGTAATAAAGTCAACAATCATCTATTTTTAATTTTAAAAAAGTTCACCTGATTGTCTGATAGCCACATAGCAGTGAGCTGTTGCAGTTTTGTAAAGGTAAATGGCAAATTCTTCAGTCTGTAAATTACAACAAGAATTTATATAAGTACATTTATCAATACTGTTAAGATTGTTAAGAAACAATCCTGCATTAGCCTGTAAAAATGTTTAAGAAGGACATTTACAGATATAGTTGAATTAATAACTATTGACAGTTGAAAGGCAACAGCATTTAGTTTAGATTCAAAGCTATACCTGGAATTAAAAAAAAAAAAGGCAAACAAAAAACCACATTTCTGCCCAGTTTAGCAAGCAGCTTAAAAAAAAAAAGTGACAATGTAACTTGAATTTAACTAAGTTCAGTGACTTGAATACAATTTTGAAGACAATTAACCTGAATTAATCTGAATCCTCAGCATTTTATCTTTCAATATACATGCACACCAATTAAGAAAAAAGTACTACCCCTGAATTTTTTTTTTTTTTTTCAAGTTACATGTGTGGGAAAGGGGCTGCCCTGGATAATGGAAGCTCTGGCATTAATAGATAAATCAAGCTACAGATGGAGTACAGAGAAGGTGGACTGGCAGAATAGGAGGGAGAGCTCAGTTAGACTTATCTCTCACAATATATTTCCATTCTACAAATTGGCAAGAAATGTTTTGTCAGTTTTTAATGACCAGCTCTAATAAAACACAACTCTCTTTTCCCCCTTCCCCAGCACACTCAAGTGTTTTACACTATACTGTGATACTGTTTTGTGTCCTCCATATGCAATACAGGAAACCATTAACTTTTAAGAATCAAAATTTTTATGAAAATAACCAAACTCATTCCCCAGAAAAATACATGCTAACAATCATGAATGTATTGAAGCTGTGCTTCAATGCATGTGCCATGTGCCAAATCATTAAAATAAAGACAGCTTAATGCAATGGAACTGCAAGATCCAGAATACAACAATAATACATTAAATACATGCATCTCAGTCAGCTTCTAAGCTGTGCATGAGATAAGGAAAGATAGCACAATATATTAATAACAATACCTCTACATTATTATTGCATTTTATACAACTTCTACTTGAATAAATGCATTCACAAACCTATTGTCACTCAGATTGATGACTTTTAATTTCTGCATATCACCCATTTCTTCAGGGAGAAATTCAAGCTTATTAGAATGCAGAAACAACACTGTTACATGCTTCCAGTTTCCAATCTAAAAAAAACCCAAAGAATTAATTCATCTTCACAACTCTAAATATGCAAATTATTACTGTTTCAAAACAATTAGTATTACAGCTACTTTTGCCTGTAAAGTATAATCAGATTTATTCTTACATATTAAAACTTCTTTTAGTTTCAATACACTAGCAACAAGTTTCTACTTCTTGCTTAAAAAGAATCAGAATTTCATTATTTGAAAACTTGTATATTTGTATACATCCTCCTTTAAAAACATACATGAAGAAAATCTACTCAGGAATTAGCAACTTGTTATCCAAAAGTTGTACAGATGATATAGTTTAAAATAAATTTAAAAATTCATTTTACAGTTTTGTAATTAAATACATACCTCTGATGGCAACTGTGTTAAAAAGTTGTGATCTGCAGCAAATGTCCTTATATTAGAGAGCTGCCCAACAGATGAAGGCAATGTTTCAATCTCATTGAAACTACAGTCCAGTTCTTCTACTGATACTAACCTGCAAAAAAAAAAAAAAATTACTCCTCTATAGAGGTCAATTCATCCCACATTAATTGAATACTTTAAGTTTAAATGAAGTTAATACCACTATTGATTACAAGTCTCAAATTTAATTCAAAATAAAACGCTGAAACTCAAGGGAATTCAAATCCAAGAAAAATCCTTTACTAATTGCCTCAAATGTTTTTTGGGTTTTTTTTGTTTGTTTGTTGGTTGATTGTGGGTTGGTGGGGGTTTGTTTGTTTGTTTAATTTCCTTTACACTGTCCTCATAAGAGAGCATTCAGTGAAAACACCAGGGGGTCAGCAACATCAAATGTTTGTGTACTACACGAAAACATGCTAGTGTAAGGCACTGAAAACATTCAGAATAGGACAGATCTTAGCCAAACAGGAGTTGAGTACAGTTTCTGAACAAGAAAAGAATTTCAAGAGTTAAGAGACAGTGAACCTAAGAATCTGGCAGTGAAGAAGTATTTTGTAAATTCTGACAACAAAAGATAACCTACATTAATTATAATAGGAGAAAAGAAATTGGAACAAATACCTTTCATTTGTGTAGCCCTTAATTCTGAACCAATTATTTTTGCTGTCATTTGCGAGTTTTAAATTAAATTCCTGAACACCAAATTATACATTAAAAAAACCTACTGATGAACAGGTGAAAATTCTCCTTATAATATAAAAACGATAAATGTGTGTCTTCAGATAAACTTTTTACAAGCTTTTTGATAGTGGTTCAATCATTTGCAATATTTACCATAGCCACAGCTATGTTACTGCCAAAAACCAGTGTCAGGCAGCTGACTGCCTTTTTAAACATCTTGTTTCCTTTCATATTCAATTTTTCTTTTATAGATTGGTGGCTGCATTAATAAGTGAGGAACACAGGTCTTTTGATATTAAATAACACATAAAGAACATACATGCTGCAACCTAGAAGTAAGATACAAAAGCACTTGCTTTCAATTTTATTAAGACATTGACATGCAGAAGAAATTAAATCAAGTAGTTGTAAAACAACATTCAAAAGAAGAGCCATTATTACAGAGAAGCGTGCAGAAAGGCAAGTCAACCTTTTATTCAGGTGAAATACCTACCCTCCTATGGAGTCTGGCAAATAAATTAATTGGTTTTCATCAATTTTAAGTGTTGTTACCTTCTTCAGGGAACCTGTAAGTAAAATGAACAAGTAAATCAAAAAGGACATTTGAGTTTATTAAATTTAGTTTTAATTTTAAATTAAGGGGAAAAAAAAAAACAACCCATGGGCAAGCAACCACATCTTCTGTATTCCCTTAGCATGCTTATGGTGCTATATATCTACTAAGGAAATAAGCAGACAAGCTTACAGAACTTGTTTGCCAGCTTACCATGTGCCAGCCATGGTGGGGGCAGGGAGGGGAGGAGAAGAGAAAAAAAAATATTTTTTTTATCCATTTACAAACTACTGTGTAAAGTCAAGAATGCTCCAAAAGAAATACGAATTTTATTATTCAGCTACACATTACAGCTTTATCCAAAACTGTCACTTTTAATGAATTGAAACTTAGATGTAAAATGCCATTTGTCTATTTTCAAGTGTCCTGTGTCTAAACTATAAGCTTTTAAGAACATGAATTAACTGAAAATACAAACCAATAGACTCTGGCAGTTGCTGAAGTGAATTACTGGATAACAGTAGGTCTTGCAGGCTTTCACAACCTGAAATACCTTCTTCAACTACTTCAATGTTGTTTTTAGAAACATCCAAGTAGGTCAGTTGTTTCAAAGTGCCTATGAACTAAAAGCAAAAGAAAATAATGTATTCCAGAAAGTGCCAGTTCAAAACAAAAAATCCAGCAGATTTGCAACAAACTGCCATTACACGAGAGACAGAGGAAAAGAGAAAACCTACCCATAGTGCTGAAATACAATTTTATGCAAAATATCCAAGCTTTATAATGAAATATTTTGTGCATAGTTTATGTTTTACACACACACACAGAAACACCACAGCAATCCTGCAGGTCTCTCTAAAGTCAGTCTGCTGCAAATTCAACTGTTTGACCAATTACCATGAATCAAGTAACTGAAGCTTTAGAACAGACTTCAGACAGAGACAGATAACATAAGGACATCATTAGGCTCCAGTAAAGTCTTTTAATACTTATTTTTACCTTTTGTGTAAAACCGCATCCTACTTAACCTCAAAACCAACAACAATGCATCCCTAATTATACTAAACTGAAGAAACAAGCCAAAATATAAGCTCGTATTACCTTTCCCTATGAACCAAGAACAAGCTTGAGAATTTGTGCACACTACTCTATTAAAATCTTCACAGGGAAGATGCAGTCACTTTCACAAATACAGTTTTACTTTTACTGTAAAGTTGAAATGTTTAATACATCCACTGAACTCTTCAAGGAAGAGTTAGCTGAAGTGAGGAAAGACAGTAGAGAAGAATACTGATCAGGCAAGAAAGCCTCACATCAGAAGACTGCTAGTGATTTTAAGTCTGAAAACTGACCAGCTGCTTCCCAAATTTCAAATACTCATTTATTAGTTTACTAGAACATAAGCAAAGGTTCACAAGTACTGCAATAATAGGTCAGGCTGGACCCCATTTAATTCTGAGAGATGTCGGGAACCCAGATGAAGTCAACAGAACATCTTCTCAGGAACTGGCTATGCTCCCTGTATACACGGCACCTGAACAGGCATTGCTTGCTTTACAGCCATGACCAGTAAAAATTCACACAATGTATTTATCCTGTGAATTTCTGCTTGCCGTCTAACACAAAATAATCCCTTTTTAGAAGGGCCAATCAACCCTAAATTTGATCCAGGATTTGATCTAGGATTTTTACCCCTTTTTTGAATTGGAACATAATTTTTAGATAAGAGAATGATTAAAAGCTGTGTACCCAGCTCTCATGATCAGTGACAATTTCTAAGCAGACTAGTTGAGCATTTAAGTGGCATTTAGTCTTTTGGCTTTAAGTAACGTTAACATTACATAGCAACTTTTACATATTTTGCTGACAAGGCAAATGCCACTGTAAATTAAAACATTAACACAGTAAAAGGACTTACCCCTGGAACAAGTGTTAGTCTATTACCATCCATCCAAAATTCCTTTAACCCACTCAGTTGTTCAAGTACTTCAGGCTGCAAAGGGAAGCCATTTTTAAAAAAATTCATACAGAAAACAGCGAAAGGCAAAAACAACTTCAGTGACTCATCTATTGCATCTTCAAGTAATGTCTCATTATAGCTGTTATATACACTTGTTTCACTCAGTCATCACAGAAAACCCAGATAATTCACTTTTTGAAATGTAAATATATACTAGATATACAAAAATCTTTTAAGAACTTGATCACAGCACTAAATAATCCTTACAGAAAGTGTGGAGTTTTTTTTGTTTTGTTTTGTTTGTGTGTTGTGTTTTTTTTTCCCCCCAGAAAGTATTATTTTTCATCTGGAGCACACAATAAATAAATGTTATTTGTATAATTTCCTCTCTCCTGGAGGAGGTCTAAAAACCCTTAAATTCCATCAACTCAGAAGACCTGTTTTTCAAAAACCACAAATACTTTGTGGTTTTGGGGAAAAGGAAAACAAATTTTAATTTTCTAGCAACAAACGGTACATCTGCATGACACAAGCAAACCATCACATCCATAAAGTGAAGTGCAGGATTGTGCTTCCCTTACAACTTATTGTTAGAAGTATCTTACATATCAGGGAAAGATCACTTCTTGGTAAACATCCATGTTGCATATGCTTTCCTATTTAAACTTCCCTCCTGAGAAAGTAATACAAAACAGATGCTACTGTACCTTAACAACTACAACCAAGTTCAGCTAAATGCAGAACTGAATTTTGTTATATTGTAAAAATTCAGCATTCCT